TGTGAGTGAGTGTGCGTGTGTGTGAGTGTGCGTGTGAGTGTGTGTGTCTGTGTGTGAGTGTGCGGGTGTGTGAGTGCATGTGTGTGTGTGTGTGTGTCTGTGAGTGTGTGAGCGTGTGTGTGAGTATGAGTGTGTGTGTGTGTGTATAACGGAGGCTGATTTGGTGTCGGGGGGGTATGTTGGTGGTGGTGGTGGTGGCTCATGCGGGCGGCCATAGTTTCTCTCTCCCGTACGGTTCAGGAGTTCGTTCATCTGAGAATACGGCAGCGCGGCCAGAGAGAACGGCCCGTCCAGATTATCAATGTACATCTGCCTGCAGAGAGAGAGACAGAGAGAGAAATTGAAATTGAAACTAAAATACCAACTAGAATCCGGCTCAAAATATTCCAATCAGTTGTGGAACCTATTGCATTATGTGGGGTCCTCTCCTAAATCACGAATTTGTAAAATGGGACAAATATCCAACTGAAGCCCGGCATGCCAAGTTCTGTAAGAGTCTCCTCAGAGTACAGAGGAACACACCGAACAATGCATGCAGGGCAGAATTAGGCCAATACCCTCTACTAATGCGCATTGAGAAACGAGCCATCAAATTTTGGAAACACCTAAAAAATGAGCGACCCCAACTCTTACCATTTTAAAGCCCTTAAAAACCATAAAGTGAACCCTGAAAAAAAGTCCCCTGATTTAGATGGTCCTGAAGCTGCAAAAACAAACTAACATGACTAACAACATCCAGCATCAGGACACTGAAATATTCATCCCAACCAAATTATAAAAACACAAAAAGAAAATTATCTACAATCTCAATTAGGAGTTGTCACTGGTCCATTTGAGAGATAGGTGGCGGTAATGCACTTATAAGTCTGCGATCCGCCGTAAAGCAAGAAGAAGAAGACGCGAACACGCTTAGGATGCGCCTGACATTGCAGTGAATCAGAGGTAAAAAAACGATATAAATACTGTTCAGTTTCTTGCACAGACCGATCGTTTCGTGTCTTTACACATCAGTGTATCGTCACGAGCAGCAGGGTTTAATTTGGTTTTGTTTGTGTATGTTCTTTTTTACTCTCAAAGCTGTGATTCCATTCACCTCCATTATATGACTGACAGACTGCAACGGTTTGAGTTAAAAATCATTATTTGTGTTCTACTGAAGAAACAAAGTCACCTACATCTTGGATGCCCTGCGGGTAAGCAGATAAACATCACATTTTCATTTGAACCATTTTCGAGGATTTTTTAATGAATGAATTAATCTAATCTAATTAATCTATTTATTTATTTGACATTTGTTAATTTTTGTACTTTTTGGGGATTTTATTACCTTTTTTTAATGCAATCTTTTTGTTTACTGTTTACTGTTAATCTAAAAGTTTTCTTTCAGTTAGCACAAATTTTGCATTTCTTGTTGGAACTGGTTGATCGTAGGCCTCACTGATTTGAGCCCATGCACCTCAGTTTTTGAGTGAACATAGTATTATTTGTAGGTAATTTTGACAATATTCACTCAAAAACTGATATAAATGAGACCCATGATCAGCCAGTTCCAAAAAAAAAAAAAAAAACTTTTTTTTTTAATTACTTGTAAGTCTCCCATTATACGATATTATCACCAGATCTTGGATTCAGTCTTTTTGAAAAATTAAAATGTTAGTTAATGCTATGACATTGGAAACCTAGTATCTTTGCTCACGCATGGTTTAACAACCAACCAAATATTTTGTTTTTTTGTACTTTTTGGGGATTTTATTTCCAATCTTTTTGTCAAATTGTTTTCTTTAAATTAGCACAAATTTAGCATTTCTTGTTGGAACTGGTTGATCACTGATTTGAGCCCGTGCACCTCAGTTTTTGAGTGAACGAAGCATTATTATATGAGGATTGTTCTCCAGAAACTGGCCTGTGCTCGTGGTAGGCTGCCGATCCGTTGGCGTCTCTGTGTTTGTCCTCTTCTTCGGCGAGCTCCGCTCCCAGAGCCATCTTCTGCCACTCCTTCCTGCGGTCGTGAGGCGCTCGCGGGATCTTCTCCAGATCATGAGGACGGTCCATATTCTTTTGCTGGACGAACACACACACACACACACACACACACAGTTAGTCTGGTCTCTCTCTACTGTGAAACAGAAGCAGGTTTAGCAGCACGAGGAGCATCACAGCCAGAGAAGAAACCAGGTCTGTTCATATTTCACTCATAAGATCTGACATATCAGGAGATATATGAACATAATCACACAAACACACACTCAGACTGTCATAAAATCAGTCAAATCTGTTGCTTGATTTTGTCTATATGTTTATACATATGTGTGTGTGTATTTGTGTGCACATTTTTTCTGTTTTGTTACATAGTTGTTTTTGCCATTAAAGTTTATTTTTAGATCTTCCATTTTCATTTTATTTTTAATTTACATCTGATTTATTTTACCTCCAATTGACTGAATTATTATAATTTTTGCATTTTTCCTGCTGATTACAGCATCCACAACACTTAGAAGACTGAAAATTGAATCTGATGATCTGATGAAAAATGCCAGTGATATTTTACACCAAATTATTCATTGCATATGGGTTTATTTTTTTTATTTTTCTATTATTTTTTAATCCCCCCCCCCCCCCTCATTTATTTAAGAAATTATTAATATATTTTTTTTG